CTTTAAATTTAAGATAAAAAATTTAAATATTATACAATTATTACTTATTATAGTTGTAATAAATATATTTATATTGATTAAACTAAAATATAGTATTAAAAATGTAAAATTTTAAATTTTTTAGTTTTTCAAGTTTAATAAAAAAATGTTTATCTAAACTTTAACTTTGTTAAAACAGTAAGTATAATATTTTTTGGTTTTTTAAGTTTAATAAAAATTATTCAGATGGATAGTGATAAGAAATAAATAGAAACTTTATTTTCAAAAAAAAAACTATTATTTTAAAAATTTTTACAAGTTAAGCACAGTTTTAGAAAAGGACATAATGAGGAACTCTCAAATATTTTGCAAATTGAACGCTCTACCACTACTGCATTAATAAATGTAAATCAATATAAAAACTTAAAATATAACTTTGTAATCTTTGTCTATCTACATATTTTATGAAAACCACGAAACCTGTGTTGCATAAACTAAACAGAACAATGAAAACCTACATAAAAAAATGAAAACCTACATAGAAATAAGAAATATGTAAAAAAAACTGTTAAGAAGGATAATTAATATAAAAAATGAGCAGGTGTTAAGAAGAAATAGAGATGATAAATTATGAGAATAACATATTCACAAATTCACAAAAACAAGCTAATGATTTTAAAATCGTTGAAGACATATTTAACAAGATTGGAAAACCATGTTTGCCAGCCTTTTTTTTCTATTTGAAGAATATGTTCATTAACCCAGATAAAACATTAGCCGAAAGAACCTTTGATTAAGCTTTGAGACAGATCCTTTGTCACAAAGCTTAATATTTGTGACAGATTCTCTGTCACACATTCTCTGACTCTCTGAAACACCAATACCTTTGATTATGGGATTTGAACAGATTGTCAAAATTAATAAGCAACACTATGAAATACCAAAAAGTGTTATACATACGAATGCAACCTCATTGAATAAAAATCCTAATGAACTGTCCATGTTAGCCCAGTAAAATAAAGTAGATGTTATAATGGTGACAAAAATGTGGTTTATTGTATCAAAACTGGATAGTTTAATATTTTTAGAAAGGACAGAATTAATGGATGAGGTGGTGGAGTATGTACTTACACATAAAAAGATCTTTTTTTTAACTTTGGAATCAACTCAATTGAATTATGTTATCCAGATATTGAACAAATATGGTCCAAATATAAATTTGATTGATGATGCTACATTATTTCATGTTTAGACTAATATAGTTCTGAATTTAATTTTACAGAAACTATAAATGACTTCTTTTTGTCACAAAATGTATTCTTTCAAGTATTTCAAAGTCTGACAAGGAATCTACCAACATACTTGATCATATATTTACAGAAAACTCAAATTGTGTTTCTGAGCTTGCATCAAACTCTCCTTTAGGTAAGATCGCTGATAGAAACATGATTCTGACACAAAACTATTTGGTTAACTCTAAAAACATGACTAAAAAATTTGTTTCAAGTTTTATATATAATTTTTTTTTTTTTGTAAACAACAAAGTATACTCTTTTTTTATTACTAACATGCATATCAATTTTTTAAATAATTTTTAAATCAGGCTCAAAAAAGCTCACAAATACGCTCAAGCATCTTTCTTATAAGTTTTCTTTCAATACTTTTAAAGTAAGACTAAAATACTTATCTCTTTCAGATCTGATACATATTTTTGTTTTACAACATAATAACTATATTAAATAGTTTTCAAGCATTAAAGGTTCGAGTGTTAATATAATTGTGCTCCATCCATAATTTAGAGTAATGCTCATCATATGCTTACTTATTTAACAACACCTGAACCTAGATATGCTTAAAAATGTTATGCTTATAATAAAAACTTTTCTATATGCGTACAATAATACAAACAAAATTCTATATGAATAATGTAAACTAACAAACTTAACTGCCTATGTGCATGTAATAATATAAACAAACTTCTATATGCATATAATAAATGTAGACAAACTAACTTTTTTTCCATCATTAAAGTCAATGTAATAAATCAATTTTTAATAATTTTAATCTTATTGAAATCTAACAACTTAAATAAAATATCCATTGCGCAGCTGTCATTTATATTATTTTATGTTTATGTTACAATGCACAATAATTCATTGATAAATACAATATGTTCATTTTGTTTTGAATTCCAATCTATATTAAATTATCAAAAACAAGCTCTCTGCCAACTACCAGAAACGTTTATAAACTTTTAAAGTTGGATTTTTCACTATATTAAACCAGATTAACGCTATTTTTTAAAAGTTTATTTAAAATTTAAATTTAAATTTTGCCTTGCATTTTAAGGTATCATTTGCAAGATGTTGATAGTTCTTATGAAGAATATAGTAAAGCAAAAGAGGCATTGGGCTCAAAAAAGATTGATACTGGATTAGATCACTCTGGTTTTACTTCTTTACTACTTTAGAACTTTACTTCTCACCCAATTATTACAGCAACCGCAAACAGAACTTAGTTATCAAATCCTCAGCTAATGATGAATACTTCTGCAATTCTAGTTACAGGTTGGTTTTTTATTATTAAAAAAATTATTACCAGAGGATAAAATCGGAAGATATTAACATTTCAATAAATACCATATAAAGATCAAGAAAGCTAAATAGGCAAATTATGGCAAAAAAATCATTGCTGAATATAAAAAAAAGTTTGAATTAACTTTTTATCTCTTGGGTGGACAAGAACCAAAATAATGGAAAAATTGTTGGAGCGAATCATCATGCCAGATGGATGTTCCATTGTTGGAGCAATTCATCATGCGAGATGGATGCACCAAAGATGTTTATCCTTAAAAAAGATTTACTTGATTCAATATAATAAAATTAAAATTTTTTTTGACTTTTAGCTCGGTTTTGTATATCAAAGCTAGAGGTTTATATTCCTACTTAGAAAAGTGTTTTTAATCCATCCCAAGATCCTGTTAGCTTTAGAAGCACATTTTGTTGCATGTATTTTCCAATTGAGGATAGACAAAATTGTCACATCAAGGTCACATTCAGAGTCTGTTGTTACTAAGGCATGACTAGTTGTTCCAAAGGATGTATTGTAACTATATTTAGGGTTAGCGTAACTAAAATGCATAACTTTACATTTATCAACATTCAGTTTCATGAGCCAAATTTTTGTCTAAATTACAATTGCACTTACAACTCTTTGTGATTTTGGGGATCATGCTAGAAACAACAAAAGGTTCTGATGCACCAGTTAATGATATTCAGTTATACAAAGATCTAGGAATTCTGGGGAAAATGTCAGGTTTCAATGGGGCTGCTCAAAAAGCTTGAGAAATTCATACTAGGAAATCTTGGTATTTAACTGAGGTGTCTGTCTTCAGTCTTAAATATTTGCTAAACTTTTTGCAAATGAAAACTAATATTGCATTAAAGTTGATAAATATGGAAAATCCACTTGCTATCAATTCTAGAAAACCTTCTCTTCCATCTATTCAAAAAAACTTGAAGCTTTTGTCATATATATATAGGGAAAAAATCTTGGTTGTTCTTTCATAACTTGAACAATAATAGTAAATGGCTCAACTAAATTCCTTCCGAATGTGAGGAAGATGGAAACTATATAAGGATGGAATTTTTTGTTAAAACAGTTAAAGTTACCAGTATTGTAGCTAAGCAAGGAATTAAGTTAGGTTCAGATTTTATTTAGATACTTACAAGGGTGGTTCAGATTAAGATGAAAATTTTTTTCTAACTTGAGTGGAAGCAGACTTGAGGTGTGCAGACTCTTGTTTTATATGTAAGATTTTTTTTTAAAAAAAAAGTTTAAGGATTGCACACGGCCCCGAAGTACTTTTTTTTTTACCCTTTTTTGACATTTTTCACCCATGTGATCTTGTGCAAAATCTAGAGAATGAAGAAGCTCTTTGTTTACCAAAACACATTTTTTTTTTCTATATTTGTTCTCACAATTAAAAAAAAATTAGGCAATCTTTCTGTATATATTATTTCTTAACACTAAAGACATTATAGAAAAAGTAATAAAGTACACACAAAAAAATAATTATTTCTCTATTTCTAGGGCCTTTTTAATTGCAAAATCCACTTTAATTACTCAAATTATAAATAGGTTATTAAATAATGCTGTATTATTTTGGACATCAAACTTAGTGAAGTATAAAAAATAAGGTGGATCAGCTCTCCTCTATTAATATACCTTTCTTTCAAGTTGCAGGAAGACAAGTGAGAAAAACAAAAATAACACAATATTAGATTTTTTTTAAATTATTAAAAAATTATTGTTTAAAAATATATTAGTTGTGTTTGATGCTAAATTTGTTTTCTTTTCCTGTTGCCTACTTCTTTTGTAAAAATTGTTAAACAAAAACAAATTTTTAAAGGAATTAAATAATAATTTCAAACTCAAGATAAAAATAGTTGAACTTTCAAAACTGTGAAGGGATCTTAACCCACTGCAACTCACTCTTTCCGTGTCTAATCTTATCGAAGATAAGCCAAGATTGCTCAGTTACCATAGCACTAAGAGATGAAGATTGATCTTGTGCAAAATCTAGAAAATGAAGAAGCTCTTTACCAAAACACATCCAAGTGGATATACTTTAGGTTTTGCGGGAAATGTACTGTACAATACCTTGCCAATATCTTCTCTGTTTGGGCAATGTTCATCTGCTACAGCATAAACAACTAAGACAGGATCAAGATACCAGCTGTACCTACCAAATGATTTTATTGCTGAAGTAGCTGCATGAAGATTTATAATAATAATAAACTAATCTTTTTTAATCTGTTTTCTTATTTCTTCTAATTATTTTTAAGCTTATGTAGATCAGCAGTTGCAGATATTGCTCTATCCCAACAATATCAAAACACACTTTATTTAGTATCATGCAAGAACTACTTTACCCATGTTTAAGCTTTATTAAATCTTATTAAAACAGCAGATGTTAAAAATTGAACATGGTTAATACATTAATGCAACAAAATCACACT